AGCCGTACCGTGACAAGAGGATCACTAGGACAGCGAAAAGACAGATGAAAGACCAAACAAAGTTCATCAAAGCCATTCATATGCTTTATACCTTTTTAAAAGCACTTACAAAAATGGTAACAAAACGGTGGCCAACAAATTTCTAGAATGGTGGAAAACTCAACAGGTATTGCAACCTCAATAGGTATTTAAAGCTGATGGGCTTGACGGACAAACCCATGTGCAGATTTTGATAATTAGAACAAGAAACGACAGAATGTAGCTATTTTACATCAGTGCGATAGACATATGTGTGGTAAAGAGCTATGTGGCAGATTCAGACTGCAAGTTATGAGTCTTTTAAAAAGAATACGACAAAATAATGTAACCTAGAGAAAAAAAAACAAAATAAATCTGTAAACATTGCAGTTGATGAGGCCAATAACCACCACAAAAATCTGATATAATCTGTTTATATCATACACACTCCAGACATTCGACATTCCAATTTCTTTTTAAAGATTAGCTTGGTATTGTTGGTGTGAATTCATTACTCTAGCAACCGTTTTACAGCCTGACAAATAGCAACAACGACAACAAAAACAACGGTGTCTCTGACGGAAGGAACGAGAGGCACATTCGGTGAGATCTACCAGACGAGATAAGATAGAAAGTTATGCAATAGTCCGGTATGCGTATAAAACCGTTATAAAATTACACGATCGCCGAGTCGTTGGCTTGCGGTTAAAATGTAATAAATTATTTTTTATTTTTGAAAGACGTGGCCAGCTGCTTGTGGCAGACCATTGTCTAAGAGGAAATTAGATTCAGTGCAAACTTTTTGCCGGCACACGTTCGCTATGTGTTTGAATATATTTTAATCAGGTTCTACTTGTTCGCAAATTAAGAAAGTATGAAATAGTTATGGTAGCCGTGAGAGCGTGATCTCAATATTCGGTGATATAAGTTGGTGTTTCTTTTATTTTTATGTTTTTTATTTGTTTGTATTGCCTGCCATCGTAAAAAATAGGAAATTAATGTGGTATGTTATAAATGAAAATGTTTGATGTAGTCTGTAATAGTAATAGTTGTTTTATTCTAATAAGACTCGTAAAGCTTGTCTCTTGTCGATTTGAAAATGCAGAGCTGTAAATTTTGGCAAAGGTTTTACTTTGAACTGTTTCTCCTGCCTCTGACCAGTCTGACTCAGTGAATGTTTTAACGACTTTATGGATTTGTTTGAACTCTAACGTGGATATATTAGCAGATACATTTGCAGCACAGGAGAAGGTGATTGATGAGCTTTGTTTGAAATTATCTTTCTGTGCATCTGTGGCGGTTTCATTTCTGCTAGTACTTCTGTCACAGTATCACTTCTATCCTCGTGTTTTTGTTGACTAAATAAAGTTCTGAACCAGTAAAATGCCACAAACAGAAACCTTTCTTTGTGGATTCTATGATCAAGTGCATCATGTAACAAAATTGCAATAATAACAAAAGCAAAATTAAATACTAGTTTACCACTCTACCCAAAATCTGACTAGACTATTCATTTTAATCACATACTAATGGAATGGACATGGCTAGTTATATGCTTGTCCAGTGTTAAAGTTATAGTGTTTATTTTACTGTTTTAACACCAAAGCGAGGGGATGTCTCACATAGGTAAAAAATGTACATGTACTGGTTGGTTGGTTGTAGTGGCGAGTGCGACCACTTGTCAAACTCCAATTAGCAGACTTGCCACCCTGATACCACTCACTCTGGTACCCTATCCCTAGGGATGGAAAAGTTGGGCTATTCACTGTTTATAACTATTCGGTGGCATTAAGGTAACGGGTGACTTCCGTTATGCTCTTCCCGGCAACATCTTCAAGATTTTCAAATCTGTAACCACCGAGGAAACGGTTGCGGGTCCTATACAAAGCCGGATAGCGGCACAGGAAATGCAGAACCGTTTCCCCTTCCTTCGGGTTCTTGCAGCTTCGGAAAACTTCGTTAAAAGGATTTTTTTTTTATTCACGCCGTATGTTCGCCGATTAGCCAGTGTCCCATACAGGTATACCGCCGTAAGCCTGGCGATATCCTTACGCGACCTAGTTATGAGCACTCCCGATTTCTTAAGGTCGTATTTGGGCCAAATTTTTACTGGATATCCTGCATGTGCTTAAAGTTTTCCATCTACTGTTCACCATAGACAGAAAATGGTGGTAAATGTCTTTTTTAAGGTATTGAGGGGAATAAAAATTTCCTCTGATGCATCTAGCTCAAGGCACGATCCTCGCCTTGCAATTGTAATTCATACCGCACTATCACAAACAAATACGAGAGGTTTTTTTTGCTTATACGTGTTTTCGTAATTTTTGGATATAATAACGAAAAAAAAATTAAAGTGTAAACGTAATCAAACTTTCTAAAGAACACTATTTATTAGGCAGCAATTTGATTGGCAGAACGACCACTGCCGACGATGAGTGAGCAAAAGAGCGAGAATTTTATTCTGGTGTCATTAATCTCGAGTGTAGGCATGTCCGATCCCATAAAAAATTAGCCCATACCGTCTACCGGTGTTCTAAACAAACAGAGGCGCATTGTTAAGCGTATTTCGTCTTACGAAACTTACATATCATTAACAAATATGAAAATAAGCTACTAACTACGAAACAATGGTTCGAAAATAAATTATACATCAGATATACGAGCGAGCGGCTAATAGATTTGGGGTTTTTAATAAGTTCGGTAGTAAGTAGCCTTAGGAATTTGCATATTCGAAAATTAGTTTAAGGTTACAGTGTTACAGTTGCATTTAAAATGTGGCTTTAAATAAAATACCACTGAAAGAGAAAAGAACATTACTAATGATCTAATTCTGTTATGTCTCTAGACTTTAAATAATTGATTTTAATTATTGTAGCTAATAGGAAAAATCTGCACATTAATGTCATTTAATATAAAACTGTGGCCAGCCGTAGCTCGAACGGTAGTGTGTCGATCTGCGGAGCGAGTGGTACTGGATTCGATCCCCAGCCAGTACGGTCGCTTTATTTATTTAAATAAAAATATTTATTTATCTAAATAGAGCGACCTGCGAGCCACCTCAAGGACGGCAATGGCAAACCACCTTGAGTATATTTGCCTTGTACAACCTCTCAAATAGTGCCGTTCGAATTCGGCGATAAACTGTTGGTCCCGTGGACTTGTGATCTGGATCCCACGTTTGGTTAATCATGCATTTGAAATATTTAAATTCTGTTTAACTCCAACTGTTTAATGATCTCCCCATTTAAGTAAATTCTGATGTACGGAATGTTGTTTCTACTAACAATTAAAATTCAGTTTTTCCATTATTAATTTTTAAACCCAGTCTTTGGCTTTCGTTATTGACCTTATTTAAAAGGATTTGAAAATCATTTGCATTGTCTTGTAATATCACGGTGTCATCAACATATTGGATATTATTAATTTGAATATCACAATCTTGACTCAGTGAATCCTCTTTCCACATATTATAAGTTGAACAACATTGGAGATAAAATACACCCCTTACCATAATCTTTCTATAATTAGTGTTAATTTTTGACTAGTTTTATGTCGATTTTTAGTAAACGACAGTCTAGTGATCGATTTCACCAAAATTATCATCGACTGTTATTCCCTAGCTATCTTTGACGCTGTTTTTTTTTCGAACATACGATATTTTCTGTCAGTGTTTTGACCTCGTATGTAGAAATCTTCTTGGACTCTTTGGACATATTTTATATAGTCTTGGTCTTGAGCTTGCGTAATCCTTGCACTGGTCGGTCTCGGGCTCATGGTGATAGCACTTGTTTGATTTTTCAAAGAACGCCAAATAACGTAAATCTTGCAAAGAAAGAAAATATTTTTTATTTTATCTCATTAGGTGACTGCCATCAGGTAATAGTTTTAAATTGGATTATATGTAACAACAATGATTTTAATAGATGTGTCTGCGCTAAAAACTTAAATTCATCTCGAAGTAGTTATTCTTGTTATAAGTTTCTGCATTTTTTACTTTTTGGTTCTGACGAAGGGATGTGATATCCCCTAAATCATTAAGCATTTTTTGATGGTTAGCCAAATTTGATTACGTGTAATAGGCCACTGACAAGCTGGTTTCCGTTTGGATTATACAGAGCGAGTATTAAATAAGTGCAAATATTATTTCGACCCCAGAAACACGATATTGAAAATTTGATATTTTTGGAAAAAAAATTTGGATTTTTTTAAATTTTTAGTTAAAAAACTTAATATCTTGATATTATAACAACATAGATAGAAAATTTAATTTACAGAAATGAAAACATTTTACAAAATAGAAAAAAAAACAGTGGTTCACAAAATATGAGCCAAAAGTTTTTATTTAAATTTTCAAAGTAAAATAACTCTGGACTTGGACTTATTTGAGAAACGGTAAAGAGAAAATATGTTTCTTTTATCGAGATCAACCAGCACTGAAAATATTTGCACTTATTTAAGATTTACTCTGTATAATATAGCAAATGGAATATTACAAAAAATACTCTTTTACTTTTTATATTTCTGTTTCAGCCGCCAATACACAGACTTATTTCAATAAATATCGCTATAATCCCACAAGAACACCCAGCCGACATAACATACAAGCAGATATATTAATCAGCGTATTAGAACGTAAAATTACTCTAAAATTCTTATCGAAATGTTATATGAACACGTGGGCATTCCTCGGCATAAATAAATTCTTTATGGCGATTAAATTCGAGCATTATTAAGTCGTTACAGGTTGTTTCTTCCTAAAACACCGCGCGCTGGATAGTAATTATACTGAAAGGAAATGGCCCATAAACTTTCTTTAATTGCTTGTAAAAGTTAATTAATTGATATTCCAATTATTACTATGTTGAACTGGTCATATATCGATTGCTTAATAGATTTTTTAGAAGAAATATAAATTTAATTAATTTTTTCTAAAAAAAGGAAATAGTGCACAACTGATAATAATATGTTTTTCTTAATTGTAGGGGGACGTCAAAATCACTGTCAATCGATCAATTACCAAATGAGAGTAGGTAAGTAACAATTCTAGATTTAATAATATTCTATTACCGTATTTAATTTGAATAATAATATATCTATTTTACGATTGATAAATTATATTATGTATAACTAAATATTATAAGTAAATATTATAGTTCTTTATTTTAATTTATTTTCAGAAAAATTGCTATAACAAATAATGTCCGTTATTACGCATACATATTATAAATATAACATAACATATTATAAAATCCTGAGGGCTATCTCACTGTTAAATTACATGTACATTTTCTTGGCAGTCGTTGGCGGAAGTTCACTATAATTATATGGCAGGCATAGGCTTCTTCGCAGTCACGCTGTCACTGGCAGTCGCTTGGAGGTAAAATTATATTTTGGCAGTACATGTATATTTTTACCCAAGTGAGACAGACACACCTCGTAAAATCTCATAAAAATTTTAACAAAAATGACTTATTTATGAAAAACTTATTTGGAACTTTTTAAAAAACTACTTAATCCAATGCAATTTAATAATTTTGAATAATTTATATGGATTCTTTTTTGAGTCATGTGAGATAGTAAGTTTAGAATAGTTCTAATATTCTACTAAATAATGCGGTCCTGGTAAAATTAACATAATAGTCACAAATTCAGTGACTTTATATCAAATCTATCATGACTGTACAGATCTGTCAAAAATATCCTAAATTATATTCCCTATGAAAAGTTACAAAGAGTACAACTGTAAATTTAATAGAATTTTTAAAAAATCAAATAAATTTCGTTGTTAAAACTTATTTAGTAAACACTAAACAATGTATGGGGAATTAAGTATGTACTCGTTATTTATAATATGAAGAAAATGGGGTAAATTTGCCCTACGTTCTTCTCCATCATTCACTGTATTGCATTTACTAAAAGTGGATCACAGGTGGAAATCTCCACTGCGGCCGCGGGGGCCTAGTGGGGCTCAGTTATACAAAATCTTTAAAAGAAAAGAGCATTAGAGTTCATCCTCAAGACCCAACCTTTTAACATAGGCTGTTATGTTCAAGGGTGATATGTCTCCTAGGTCTGACAGGTCTAGCATGGTACACATAAAGTGCTTCATTGTTTCGTCATCTTCCATACAGAGTCGGCATTCTACGTCTTCCACCAGTTTCATCCTCAGCAAGTGTTATCTCAGTCGGCAGTGGCCCGTGTATACTGCAGTGAGAAGGCCTTTAAGGAGTTCTTCTGTTCTGCGTTTGAATAGCCCTGCTAGGATTTTATTGGCATGTTTCATTCCAGGACTGTTTTCCGGGACATGTTTCATTCCAGTCCCGAAACGTCTTACCCTAACCCATTCACAGAGCCTGTCTCTTGCGAGATTTTTTGGAACGCTGTCGGTTTCTGCACCTGTTTTGGCGAGGGAGTCAGCGCGTTTGTTTCCCTCTAGGCCGACATGTCCTGGTATCTATATTAGCGACACTTTGCTTTTCTCCTAATCCTCATCTCCTAATAAATTCAGTAGTTTTTTACAGTGAAGGATACGTGAAAAATACGTTATAGACGTGCTTTTCGTTGCCTCAAGCTCTTTTACTATCCGAAAGTATGTTTATTGTTTTCCCGGTGTGTTGCCGTTCTATCAGCAGATGTACAGGGTGTCCCATTTTGGTTGAAATCATACAGTATCTCCATTATTCGTGAAGATAGAACGGTGCGGTTTGCACAAACCAGTGCCACTTTTTTGTCAAACGGAAGATACCGTAAACAAAATTTTCATAGCCCTCTTCGTTTCTGAGCTACAGGGTCTTTTTGAAAAGTTTGCAATTTGGGACACTCCCTGTATCTCTGTTATTCTCAAAGGTATCGAGACGGTGAAAACTGTTTATTGTAGAACTTTTTACGTAGAATACAGTGGCGTAGTCTGTTATTCTACGAGAACAATATTTTTAAAGATATGAACTAAAGTTTTGTTTTCTTAAATGAAACACCCTGTATATTTAGAAATTATATGATCTTGCCATAAGCTTCTCAAAAATATATATCACTTTATATTGCAGTCGGCTGCGGCTTCAAGAATGTAAAGTGCCTGAGAAAGCCCACTATGATGGAGCGAAACGTCGCATAAAAAAAGTTTCCATTTTCAATTAATAAAAAAACCTCATACCCAAGAAAAGGAAAAAAATATATGTTTATATTTATTTTAACTATTTACTGCAATATTTAAAAAAATATATTAAAAGATCGTATTTATCAGTAGGACATGATTGATAATAAAAGAAACTAAAGAATTATTAAAAGTATACTGCTATTTGTATCTTGTTTTATTTTGAGAGCCACTAATATTTTTTATATATTAGGGAAACTTCACTCTCTGCCGATATTTGTAAATCTTGGAAGCTATCGTATGGAAACTTTTAAATATTCCTTTAGCTAATTTACGCCAAATATACTTTCAGCAAGATGTGCCCCCCTCCTAGCATAACTTAACTTACCTACAACGAAAATATTAGAATTTTATTAAATTATTATTTCCCAAATTAATGAATTGGAACCAATGAACCCATATGATGGCCTCCCTGATTCCCGTAGTTGTCCGTTCTCGATTTCTGATTTTGGGGATTTTTGAAATATGAAATATATCGTGGCAACTAATACCATGTCGAACACCTGGAAAATGCTTTAATAATGCAAGCTAATAATGCAAGCTTTTAGATATTTGCAAAACCATCCCGTTATAAAAAGAAAAATATATTCAGAGATTCAGTGGCAACAGTTCAAAAGTAAAATATATCAATTCCAAATAAAATTTTAATATGTGTATGACTATTTTAGTAAATACCATTTTGATTTTTTTGTTATTTAACACGGCTACTACTAATAAGAAAATGACATATTTTAATATTGCAGTAAATAGTGAAAATAAATAGAGAGTAATATATATTTTTGAGAAGCATATAGCAAGGCGAATCATATTATTTATAAATATACAGGGTATTCTATTTGAAAAAACAAAACTTTAGTTCATATTTTCAAAATTATTTTTTTCGTAGAAAAACAGACTACGCTACTGTATTCTACGTAAAAAGTTCTACAAGAATGAGTTTACACTTTCTCGATATCATCCATAATAACAGAGATACGGGGGCTGTCCAAAATTGCAAAATTTTCGAAAAGATCCTGTACCTCAGACACGAAGAGGGCTATGAAAAATTTGTTGGCAGCATCATCCGTTTGACAAGAAAGTGACACAGGTTTGTGCAAACCGCACCCTTCTATCTTCACGAATAACGGAGATACCTACTATATGATTTCAACTAAAATGGGACACCCTGTACACAGGTTCAATAGCATATAACTCAGTTTGGAAAATTGTGGTGTGTCTCCCAAAACTGCGATAGATCTCAGTACGAACACATTTCCGCATATAATAAACCCTTTCTGGGCTTATCTCATTCGTCCCTATTCGGAAACAGGGTATTGTAGGTGCGTATCAAGAGTTGGACCGGTGTTGTGAGATCTGAGACCATTCCCAGGATCTCATCCAACTATAATTCATCTACTAGTCGGTTTTGTATGAACTTGATTGTTCGTTGGCATTCTCGTGCCATATATAGAAATCTATATGTCGCCCATCTCGCCTCTCTTTCCAAAAAAAAATGAAGCAAATATAAGTCGAGTAAAGCAAACCGTTAATTGTCGTTGTAATTCCGACAATTTATTCTTTGCCGTTGTTTGGTTGGCTTTATGCTACCACGCAACTGCACCATACTTTATTGTAGATCTGATGGCTGTCACGTATAGCCAGTGCATATTTTTGGGGTTTAATCCCACTGTCCATTACTTCTTAGTGTTTGGAATATTCAAATTACTTAAAATTGTGCATCTTCATATTGGAATATAATATTTTTTGGGTTTAAATTCTAATAATTAACTACTTAGTGGTAGGCCAACATATTGTCAAATTATAGTGAAAATTAAAGTACTCTCCATAGGTGTTGCATTTTCAATGTCATGTAGTATATTATCCATTATTGATAACCATTCTAGCCATCCACTTGGTTTCGATTATTTACATAAAATAGTTTGGAATATCTAAATTGCTGTAAAATTCATAAAGAATTGAAATCATTTGAAAGGATAACATACATTTCATCGTCATCTATTACACTAAAAATAACCTAAATAGGTGTGTTCTTAAATGTATCATTTATATAACACAAACATTTTATCACATATTCAATTAAAATATTGAAAGTAGATTTTATATACCTAGATAATCTGTAACATAACATCTTTAAGGAACTGGAAAAGTTGCCTTTTCTGAAAGCCTTTCATTTCCTATTTCCTATTTTCCTCGTCTTTCGCACATAATAAACATTCTTAAAATACGTTCTCCATGTTAATGAAATAATTACTTACCAGTAGAGTTGTAAATTTACTCGGCGAAATTCGAAGTGGCCAAAAGCGCATTGCCATAATTCAATATCCTAGATGTTTTACACATTAGTAATGGATACATATATCATTGGGAAAGTATTGGTTATCGGTTTAGGGACAGGCTAAAAGTGGCGAGTGTTGTTTATTGCTCTGGAATACAAGAAATTGCTATTAATTATTTTATAGATCGTTGTAAAAAGTGTTTGGCGAGAACACGTGCTCTCACTTGGGGGCATATAGATAGGTTAATAATATATCTTATTCGTTGCTTCATTATAGCTAACACTTCCCGGAATACCCAAGTAAAAATTGAAATATCTTATATATGTTATATGAAGATAATATATTGAACATTAAATTATCTTCTTTTCTAACTTACTAATATACTCATCTAGTTTTGGAGATTTTTATACAGGGTGTGGGTAAATGAACACCCCTAAAACTTGTTTATTTTATCAAATATAAAAACGAGATTTGGTGTGTTAGTATATGACAACAATTAGGATTGATTGACGTATTCAATTCTATTCGGCCTCTTCCTGTTTCACCGGAAATGACTACAACTTTTGATCTTTAAATGGCACCCTCGGTATTTTTTTACTTTATT